TTAGCTTGTCCATTGCCCAACAAAAATGATTCATCTCGTTGATTCTTCAAGTGAACTGTGTGAAAAGCCGTCGGCATTATTGTATATAGCGAATTTTTTTATTTTTCCTAAGCTTCCTTATTATTAGTAGACGTGACACCCACGCATCGATATGCTGTTTTACAAAAAAATACATATATTAGTGAATTACATTAATTTTTAAACAAATTAATCAAATCATATATAAGACAAATATAGTCTTACCTCCCCATCCAAATAGCCACTGTCTTCAACCCCTAATAGCACACCCCACCAAGACCGATCAAGCAACAAAAACATTTCATCGTTGAGTTTGCTGATGTCAGTGTAACACCCTTGGCTCCGCTCATGTAGATAAAAATCAACTGCGGTCTTAGCCCAAAGGGTATTATCCACAATTGTTTCTGGTAGTTGTCTCCTCTCCACTTCAGATACCGGAAGGGTACTAGCCGGTAACTCATACGAGAGCCAACTCTCATCCATCATGTCCGGAACCGGTGGGGGTTTCTCAATACTTCGATATATTACCCCATGTGAATCGGGCTCTGGAATGGTGGGAGGGACCTCTTCAACGATGACAGTGGCCTCTTGAACGGTGGGGGGGAATCTTGAGGGAGAATAGGGGCCTCTTGAACGATTGGAGGGGACTCTTGAGGGATGACCGGTGAGTCGGGCTTCTTCTTGCGGAGTCTTCGCACCATTGGGGTGAACGGAGACGTAATAGCACGTCCACGCCGTCTGATGCGTGAACTCCTTCGTGCAAGGAAAACCCGACGTAAAACATCCACCTTATCGGGCCGCTAAAAAAAATTAATACATAAATCAGTAAATAAACAGACATGATATTAAACAAAGACAAATATGTTTCAAACTAGCATTGTATTCACCCAAATCATTATTCTATCATAGTTCACAAAATGCTCAGATAACATTCCAGAAGTAAGCACTTATATAAACATTTAAAAGGACAACATATAAACATTCCAGAAGAAGAATAGTTTACTTTCGCAACACGAAACTTAAAATCGCAATGCGAAATGACTATCGCAACGCGGAAATGGCTATCGCAATGCGAAATGAAAATCGCAACGACAAAATCGCAACGCGAAATGAAATCGCAACGACAAAATCGTAACGCGAAACACAAATCGCATTGCGATTTTCATTTCGCGTTGCGATTTTTTCGTTGCGATTTCATTTCGCATTGCGATTTTGTCGTTGCGATTTTCATTTCGCATTGCGATAGCCATTTCCGCGTTGCGATAGTCATTTTCGTGTTGCGAAAGTAAACTATTCTTCTTCTGCAAATTGAAACTTGAATGGATTGCATTACTTCAACCAAAAGACAAAAACAAAATCAAAAACAAATACTAACAAAAACAGTTTAGCAGTATTGGCAGCAACCGAATGAATTACGAGTATGAAAAATCTTAAACTTACCTCGTTGCGTAGAGTATGAACCTCATTCTGCAACGATGCTACCATCTCACGTAGAGCGGCTACCTCACCGCGTAATGTAGACACCTCAACACGCCATGCACCATCGTCTTTGCGTAAAGTACCGACCTCCTCACGCAAGGCATTGACCTCATCACGTAACTCCCCTAACTCATCCCGTTGAGGTGGAGGTGGAGAACAGGGAGATAAACGTCGTGGCATCTTTGCCGATCGCCTATCTTGCGGTGATGGTGGAGAAGAGGCTCGATGATGTGACAGAATAGGTGATGGCTGTCGTTGTGGAGGTGTATAGCCGGGTCGATCAGATGATGGCTCTGGGTGAGGTGATAGCTCTGGGCGAGGTGATGGCTCCCGAAGTGGAGGCTGCTCATCAACCGTTCCATCAAAAAAACGCTTACTAGCTTGCCACCAATCAGTGGCAAGCTCAGCTTCCGTGGGTGTCAGCCTCTGTAGAGGAGTGTTGGCCTCCTAACAATATAAAGCTCAAACAAAGTTAAACGTGTACTGGTAATAACTTGTTTATAAACATATGGTAGTATTTATGTTAACTTACATTATTTATTGTCGTATACCGTAGTAAATCTTCCCATTGCAAGGTCTGTTTCCTCTTCCAGGAAATAGCCATGGGAATATCATTTGAAGTTTTTATTGCATATGTCTTCATGGCGGGAAAGGCCTCAAATATCCAAATCTACAAACAATATAATAACAAACATTAGTAATTGTTAAATAATTACTTATAATTTTGGAAACATCATATCAAAATTCTTACCTTAAAGGCCCAAATAAAGCCTGTCAAAGTGTATTTGGAACCATCGCCATGCAAACTTTTTCGATCATCCAAGGCAGACGATAACTTATTCCATGTAGCTTTCCATAAATACGAGCCCCACAGAAACAGGTTCCACGCATTTAGGTCTTCTACCAATTTGATTAGATCATTTGGAATAGGTTGTATGGCCTCTCTGCCTAAAAAGCATGCATGCAAAAGAATTAGAAGGCATACTCGGACAACGTCGACGTCATCCATCCGAGTAAAACCATCTTTATTATTCAAAAATCTTGTCAGGTCTTCTACGTGTAGACTCGGCCTCTCCAGCTCAGGAAAAACCCGGGATAGCCATGATGGGCGGGTAATGTGTCTAGTGTACCGACCTACATCATCGTGTCTGAAGCGTAGACCGGTGATTAAGCAAAACTCCTCCCGCCCAAAACACGTATACGCCGGTGGAAAATCAAACCATATCTCTTCATCACGACGTTGTATAGTCTCTGGTAGATCGCTAGTCATGGTTTGAAGAAACAGGTGTGTCAACATCGCATCTCCACCGGGATGTTGTACTTTCAGCCATGGCCCGAAGCATGTATCCTCAAACATTTTTCTTTGTGCAGGTGAAAGCTTCGACGCAATTGTTTTGGCCAGGCTGACTTTATTTCTCAAGGTCAATTGAGCCGAATAAAAGTTCTACAAAAACAATAAACATACTAAATTAGATATACCAAAAACTACACTGTGAAGATATACCAAAAACAATAATAAACATAAATAGTAGTAGTTTATTCTTCAAACTTAAATATGCAACACTGTGAATTTCGTATTTGTCTTTGTTTTTTGGTTGAAGTAATGCAATTCATTCAAGTTTCAATTGCAGAAGAAGAATAGTTTCTGAAAATGAAAATCGCAACACGAAAATGACTATCGCAACGAGAGAATCGCAACGCGAAACTAAAATCGCGTTGCGATTTGCATTTCGCGTTGCGATTCTTGGTTGATTTAATAAGCAATCTAAGTGAAATGGTTAATCTATTATTGAAATTACCAGTAAACTTATCATCAATTTCAATATGAAAAACTTAATAATAATACAAAAATTTCAAAAAGAAAATAATTAAAAAAACTAACCCTCGTTGGTTGATTTGGTTGATTTTCCATTTCTGATTGTGAGGGTGGCTCTGAGAGATTTAGATAGACGGATTTCGCCGGAGATGGGGACGGATTTCGTCGGAGATGGGTGAGAGAGTGAGAGATGGAGATGGGACTGAGTTGTGATTTTAGGTTTTAGGTTATGAGTTGCGATTACGGGATATACTGTGGACAGTTCAGTGTTCCAATATATTAATATTCATGTTTGGAATTTAAAAATAAAATACTTGGCCAGGATACTAATGGCGCTTTGAAAATCGCATTGCGATTATGTATTATCGCGTTGCGAAAGTCAGTATCGCGTTGCGAAAGTAAGTATCTCGTTGCGATTTTTTATTATCGCATTGCGATAGTCAGTATCACATTGCGATTTTCCCAATTCGCGTTGCGATTTACTTATTCGCATTGCGATTTTCCCAATTCGCGTTGCGATTTACTTATTCGCATTGCGAATTGGGAAAATCGCAACGATACTGTAGACCATCGCAACGCGATTTTCAACTATCGCATTGCGAAAATGCAACGCGAATTTGCGATAATGGAGATTGCGTTGCGAATTAGCGATCGCATTGCGATTTTGTTGGTCATTTTGGCAAATCCGGAAAAAGTTGGTTAAAATCGTATATTATATGGGATTTTTGGTCACTGAAGTTATTTTCTCTTTAAAAAATAGGAAAACATTAGATCTAGATTTTTAACTAACTTAGACGGGTTCAAATCCTGATAACAATTTATTGACTTAATGGTATATGAAACCCTCAAATTTTTGTAAATAAATTATTGTGGTCTCTAAACTTTTTTATACTCAATATAGTCCTTAAATTATTTTTTAATAATTTAATTTTATAGTATTTTTATATTTAACATATTATATATCTTAATAGTTATTTATATTTTATATTGTAAAATTCAATAATTTTTTATTAAAAAAATTAATTAAATCCCTAAACTTTCTAAAAAAATCAATTAAGTCTTCAAATTTAGTAAAAAATCAATTAAATTTATTTATCACATCATCATTTATCATGTATTGTCAAAACATCATTGTGTATTATCACATCAACTCATTTTAAAAGTCCTATTGAATGAAAAAAAAAAGTTAAGAGGCTACACTAGTTCCACAAAAAAAAGAAGTTTGAGGGCCTTAAACAACACTAAACATAATTTTTATTTTAATGACATTTTTGTTTACAATAATATTTTATGTCTATTTTTTTAATTTAATTAATAACTAATATGCATTAACATTATATTGTCATTATAAACTAAAATAACTTTATTATTTTATATTTACATAGCTTACATATTAAATTTTTGTAATGAATTTTTTTAATAATTATATTTTTAATTTGATTATTTAATAACTATTCGATCATCTCTATTTTAAAAAATTAGATAACAACTATTTGATCATCTTTATTTATTTTAAACAAACATATTTTCTAATTTCCAATAAACTGGGAAAAATATTTTATAGAACCAAATATACCCTTGGATTTTTCTTTTCGGAAGCTTCAATGTAATTTTTTTTAAATGGCACAGAACAGAAATCTAATCCAATCAGTTATGTTTGCAACTTCTAAAGTATTTACCTTTAGGATAAACAAAGTCTTCACTTTTATTACATAAAAGGGGCGAAAATTCACAGAACATTAGGGTTGCATTACCTATTTGTCTTTACCTATCTCGGTACTTCATTTCAAATTGGATCTTACATGCATAAAGGATACATCTGCTAATGTCTCATATTGTGGAGAGGAGGTTGATCATGTCTGGGCGGGGACTGCACAAAGCTACCAAGGGCTCAGCTTTAGGCATGGTGAGTCCGGTCACTTCTCTCATATCAATATCTTCCTTGTCGATCCTATTCCACTCAAACGATTGAATTAATGCACCCAGTATGAGTGTAATCGCTTTTCTACCTAGAATTGCCCCCGGACAAGCCCGTCTTCCCACACCGAAGGGAACTAGTTTGTACCCTTCACCTTCTTCCCCGCCTTCAAATCTCTCTGGCATAAATCTTGTGGCGTCTTCCCAAAGCTTAGGGTCTCTGTGAATACTCCATGCGTTGACCAATAACATTGTTCCACGCGGCACATCATAACCACAAACAACACAATCTTCTGATGACTCATGTGGTACGAGTAACGGGACTGGTGGAAATAATCTCATGGTTTCAGAAATTATGGATTGTAGATAACTCAACTTTGGCAAGTCTGTTTCATCTAGGAATTTGTCTTGTCCGACTTTAGCTGCTATTTCCTTCCAAGCTTTATACATGACTTCAGGATGATTGAGAAGAAGTGACATAGCCCATTCTAAGGTTGTCGATGAGGTTTCAGTTCCAGCAATTAGAACTCCCTACAAACAAAATTCAAAGATATAACTCTAGAGTTTACTGATTGAAAGGCTTTTGAGCCTTATGTTGATGGTTGACCTGCAAGACAAAGAAAAGAAAAGAACATCAACATTCACCACAAAATATTCATAGATCTTAGCTTACCAAGATAACTGCTTTTATGGTTCCATCAGTATAGAAGTCCGGTTCGGTTTGTTGCAGAGTTAGCATGACATCGATTAAAGTTGTTTTTGTCCCTTTGTTGACTGCATTAGATGAACCCAAAGACCGGTCGGTTGAATGATCCCTCATCCTTTTATGCTCTTGAAGAAGGGACTGTAAGAATTTATCCAGTTTCTTGGAGAAGTTTTTCATCTTCCTCTCCAGACCTTGGAAATCAACCCACCGCAGGAAAGGCAAAAAGTCATTCAAATTTGTGGTTCCATTGATCTCCACAATCCCTCTCATGATGTCTCGAAACTCCTCTGCTTCTTTGTCCACTGCATCTTTCCCGTAATACCGCTTTCCAGCAATCATCCTCAAAATCATATTGAACCCAACCTCTATAAACTTGGATGTAAGTTTCACCTTTGCCGGTTTCTCGGTCGAGGCCAGGAATAGTTCCTTTAGCAATAACTGAATTTCCTCTTGCCGTATGCTAGCAGACACGGCGAGTCGGCTTGTGGTGAAGAGCTCCATGGTGGTGAGCCGCCTAAGGTTACGCCAATAATCACCATAGGGTGCTAATCCCATGGTAGTATAGTTGTAATTGATGTATTTTCCAGCAAGCAATCGAGGTCGGTTGGCAAAGATGATATCATTTTTAGTAAAACACTCCTCGACTGCTGATACAGAGGAAACTACAAGGACTTTACGATTTCCGAATTGAAGTAGCAGAATGGGGCCATATATCTGTGAAAGTTGCTGAAGAGTTCGATGAACTGGTTGTTTTAGAAGATGGAGATGGCCTATGATAGGCAAGGATGGAGGGCTGGGTGGAAGATTTCTTCGAGTTTTACGATTTTGTAGGATGGGTTTCAAAACTAATGCAAAGAGGAAAATGGAGATGCCGAGTATAACGTTGAACAAACTAGCCACTTCCATATTGTGTAATTAATGCTGCCGAATTGTAATGGACAGATCTCTCGTTTTATAGAAGGCGAACTATTTCTCTAAATACTAAAAATTTATCTTCAGCCAACAAATATACTAATTACAAGTATACATATCAGAGTGAAATATATTTATTATACATACTATGCTTGACAACAGTATAGGAAAACGACAAAAAAATAAAACAAAAGGGCCGGCATTTCAGTCCCATTTTCTCTTTCTTCCACATGCCATTGCAGTGACACGGAAGTCGAACTTGATGGTTTCAATTTGATAGGATTTATTTATTTTTTAATGTTTAAATCAGGTTTGGTGTAAATTTTTTGGAGGTTATATTCCGATTATGTTTGAGTTTGAGATAAAAATATTTGATTTGATCTTACTTATAAAAATATAATTTTATATTATATGTTTAATGATAATTTTAATAATATTCATTTATATATTACTTTTTTAATTAAATTTTTATTTTTATTGAATAAATATATTATTTCAAATAGATCTAGATTAAGATTTTATCTCAAAATACCAGGTCAAGTTAGAGTTGGGTAGAGGTATCTATTTTCTCAATCGAATCAAATCAAATAAAAATAAATAATTTTTTAATTGGATCGAGTTAAAAAAAAAGCATAAAAATGCCAAGAAACACCGCTTTACCACTCACGAGCGGTCTTCTATAATTTTCTTAAGAAAAATGTAATCTTTCAAACATTTAATTTTAATAACAAAATATTTTTGAAATTGTTAATTATATTTAAAAATCAATATTCAATTTAGAGTAAACAAATATTTAACTCAATTTATTTCTATAATTTATAATTAAATCAACATTTGTTATTATTAATAATATTATTTTATTTAAATGTAAGTTTAAATAAAATACTTATATTAATATTATATATAACAAATTTATTATATTATATTTAATTATAAATAATATTTAATTTAATTAAGAACAATAAAATAAAAATAGTATAAAATTAAATAAAAATTATATTATTTTATATTAAATAAAAATAAACTAATTAAATTAAATTAAAGTTCATTTTTATATATTATTTATTGTCTGAATCTATTTTATTTTTATATATATAATAAATTCGAATCTATATATATTCTTTATCGCAAATAGCAATTTCAAAATCAAATATGCGTATCTATCATCTATTTTATTCTTTGATTTTTTTTATTTTCTGATTTTTGATATTCAATAAATAATTTTCTAACTTTAATTTAGATAATAATATTCAGATTTAACATGGATAATGAAGGGATTTAAATGTGAAGCTAAAATAAACTAAAATACAAGACATACGTAGTAGAATTTTTGTTTAGAACACTAGGGATGAGTGCATTGAATTGTTTTGAAAGTTCCTGAATGAAAAATCAGTCGGCGGGGACAAGAAAGCAATGTTTTCCTAATGAAAAACGATATCTTGTTCAACTACAAATGTTTTCTTTTTAAAGAGAACTTAAATTCGAATCACATAAAAAAAATTTAAAAGAACGTACATAATATATAAATAGATTACGATTGAAAATTTTATTAAAAATCTTAATATTTTAAATTAGATATAGTAACATTTTAGAACTAAAAAATAATATAAATTCGTATAATTATTTTAATTGTAAGTTCTAAACATCTCACAAAATATTTTTTTATGTAATCTAAAATGTTATAAATTTTTTAATTAGACGAATAGTAATTTAAATAATATATATGTTGCGGAAGACAGCTATCGGATAGAGCAAAATCGTAACTGATAATTTGAGAAAATAAAAATGAAGATAAAAGAGACACAAAATTTACGTGAAAAACCACTAAATAAAATAGGGTAAAAACCACGGACAACGGTAGAAGAATTTCACTATGAGAAAATAGGAATTACAACTTCTCTCGATCTACCAAGGAGAAAACAATGATAATTCTCTCTTGATAAAAAGGAGAAAACAACTCTCAAGAAACTCTCTAAATTCTCTCTAGTATTGGAAGAAAGCTAGAATGCTTTGGTATGGTTTTGAAGCTAAATGAGCTAGGGTATTTATAGTATAAGCTTTAAGGACTAATATTGAAAATACCCTAAATTACAATGACTAAATGTGAGATTTTTCCATATCACTTTTCAACCATTATTAGTGCCAACTATGATCCATTATTGTTGCCAACTTACAATGCATTATGAACCATTATTATGCATTATACAACTATTATTAGTTGCATAACAACTAATAATTTTGCATGACAACTAATACTCTCCCACTTGAAAATTTGATTGGAACAATCATATCTTCACACCATTCTTTCTACCTTGTATAATCATGTTGCTTACGTCTCTGACAGGCCACAAGAGGATCGACACCAGGTAAATTTATCAGCATTGATCGTTTTCGTCATGAAATCTGCTATGTTGTCTTTTGTATGGATCTTCTGTATATCTACCGTCCCTTCTTCCACCTTTTCACGAATGAAATGGTACTGAACTCGTATGTGCTTTGTCCTTGAATGAAATGTTGGATTTCTTGCTAGATGCAAGGCGCTTTGACTGTCACAAAATAGAGAGACATACTCTTGATTGTGCCCAAGCTCCTTCAATAACATCTTCAACCAAATTGTTTCTTTACTGGCTTGTGTAGGTGATACATATTCTACCTCTGTTGTGGATGTAGCCACAACTGACTGCAATTTCGAAACCCAGCTTACAGCTCCACCAACAACTTTAAACACATATCCTGTAGTAGATTTGCTTTTATCCAAATTCCCTGGATAGTCGGAATCAACATACCCATTTATAAGTAAATTTGATCCTCTGTAACATAATGCAACATTTGAGGTCCCTTTGATGTATCTCAGAATCCTCTTTATTGTATTACAATGCTCTTTGCCTGGATTCGCCATGTACCGACTAACCACTCCCACTGCTTGTGTAATGTTTGGTCTTGTGCATATCATAGCGAACATTAAACTTCCCACTGCTAATGCATACGGTACTCGAGACATCTCCATAACCTCTTCTTCACTGCTATGACTCATACTAGAGGATAATTTGAAGTTAATAGGAAGAGGGGTAGAAATTGGCTTACAATCTTGCTATTACTTCTGTCTCGGTGAATTTGCATCCCTAGAATCTTGTTTGCTGATCCCAAGTCCTTCATTTCAAATTCCCTAGCCAGTTATGCCTTCAATTCTTCAATATGATCTTTGTTGGGTCATGCAACCAACATGTCATCCACATACAACATCAATATAACAAAATCGTTATCACCAGACCTCTTGAAATAAGCACAAGGGTCTGCATTAAGTCTGTTGTATCCAAGGCACATAATGAAGGAATCAAATCTCTTATACCAACACCTCGGCGCCTAATTTAGACCGTACAGAGATTTGTTCAACCTGCAAACCAGGTTATTCTTTTCTTTTTCTTCAAAACCTTCAGGCTAGAACATGTAAATCTCTTCTTCAAGATTTCAATGAAGAAAAGTTGTTTTAACATCTAGCTGCTCTAGATATAAGTTCAATGTAGCATACATTGCCAAAACTACTCGAACTGTTGTTAGTCGAACCGCAGGAGAAAATATTTCATTGAAATCAATACCTTCTTTTTTAGCATATCCTTTGACCACCAGTCTTGCACGATACCTCTCAACTTGATCATCACCATTTCGCTTGATTTTGAAGACCCATTTGTTACCAATTGGCTTCATTCCTTATGGTAGTGGCACAAGGTCCCATGTATTATTTTTATGAAGGGCTTCGATTTTTTCTTACATCGCCATCATCCACAGTGAAGCATCTGAGCTATTTATTGCCTCCTGGTATGTTGATGGCTCACCGTCCTCTGTTAAAAGGCAGTATGCAATATTACCTTCTATAACATAACCTGAGTGCCAATTGGGACGTATTCTCACACGATCTGATTGACGAGTTGTTGGAACTTCAGAACTCTCTGGTTCTGCTTCAGAAGAATCTCCTTGTTCAAACTCCTTTTCCACATGTATCTGTATAGTTTATGACTTTTCAGCGCTATCATCGTCTTCTTTTCTTTGTAGCTTATCTTCTACAAAGATAACATCCCTGTTAATGATCACTTTGCGGGCAGTGAGATCCCACAAGCGATACCCCTTTACTCCATCAGCATACCCCAAGAATTTGCATTTCCTGGATTTTGGATCCAACTTTGAAATTTTTTGGGCGTTGTACATCACGTATACAATACTTCCAAATACATGAAGGTTTGAATAATCAGCTGGTTTACCAGTCCACATCTCCATTGGTGTCTTCAGCTCTATTGCAGTTGATGGAGATCGATTCACCAAATAATAGGCGATATTGACTGCTTTTGCCCAGAATGATTTTTTTAGGCCTGCATCCCTCAACATTTCTCTTGTTCTTTCTAACAAGGTTCTGTTCATCCGCTCTACCACTCCATTTTGTTGAGGAGTGTTTGCCACTGTGAACTGTCTTTTGATGCCTTCTTTCATGCAAAAGTCATCAAATTTTTCACTTGTGTATTCTCCTCCATTATCTGTTCTGAAACACTTGATCTTATTTCCATAATCAAGTTCCACCCACGCTTTGAAGTTTTTGAAAGTGGAAAACACATCTGACTTCTTCTTCTTAATAGGGTACACCCAACATCTCCTGGAGTAGTCATCAATAAATGAGACAAATTATTTTGCTCCGCCTAGGGATGTAACTGGTGCTTGCCATACATCAGAGTGAACCAATTCTAGAACACTTTTGGCTCTAGAATTTGACGTGTTGAATTTCAACCGGTGTTGTTTACTTATTATGCAATGCTCACACAAAGGAAGTGATACATTTGTTAAGCCTGGAAGTAACTTTTTCTCCACAAGGACTTTCATTCCTTGTTCTGACATGTGTCCAAGTATCTGATGCCATAGCATTACAGAATCTGAACTACATGAGGCAACAGAGGCTTCTACTTCTAGCAAAGTTTCTCCCTTCAGCATGTACAAGTTTGCAGCTATCTTTTTGCCTTTCAGCACCACAAGCGCTTCACGGAACACCTTCA